TGCAATAATATTATTGTGGTGGACTTTAATATTATTAATATATTAATTATGGGGTTGCTCCACAATATTAATATATTAGAAGCCCTTATCCTATTCTCCTTAGGGTCCCTATTGTAGCTCTATATATACAGCATTGGGCTATTGGAAGAGAATAGACAATCCCACAACCTTGGGAAACACGTCCAACCCTCTTTTTCTCTCTTCCAAGGAGTTGTTCTATTTCTTGTGCTCTACTGATACAAGATCTAGATAGCTGTTTGAGAATACAGTAGAAGATCTTAAGGTATATACGAGATTCCAATCAGATCTATCATACATCCAAACCAAAGACCAAAACCAACAAGTCACCATACCACGACGACCAGGACGACGAGTCGAAGAGATCGCCGTCGAGATCGCCGCCATCCGTCGCCGCACGCGCCGTCACGCCCCGCCGGAAGGTACCAGTTGCTGAAGCTCACTCGCGTGCGTGAGAGCGCGTGGAAGCTCCGTTTTCCAATCGGTCAACGTCGTTGACTTCGCCGTGATGTCAGCTTTCTGGATTGGTCAAGTTTGTTCGATTCCGAGAAGATTTGATTTGCGGTCATCTGTTCGGGCCAGCCAGATCTATATAAATTTTAAGCCGTAAGTTTTCTACATCAAACCTTTAGATCCGCTGCGCATAGGTTAATGTTGAATGTTTTTCTGTGATTTTTGCATATCGAGATCCTCGTAGGTCCCAACAGAAACCACGCGCACCAACGCACCCCAGCCGCACCTAGCAACATGCCAGCGACCCAGGCTACCCATAGCAACCACGCCGCGACCCGATAGCTTCCCAACCATGGTTCAACAGCCCTGTGTGACGTGGTGTATTCGACAACGGTCAACTTATTCCTAGGTGAACTGGGACAATTCAAGAAGAGTTGAAAGTTGATTGCGAGGTGTTGCTCAGCATCCCAACGGAAATGAGACTCATACGATCTCCAACACTGAAAATCATAAATGCCTCAAAGTACGAAACATTCAAAACAATAATCGTTGAATCCTAGCGTCTAGTTCTGTTGCACTTATGGTATAATTCGTTGATAACCTGTGACTTGTATAATTTCAACGTTCCCAACCGGGCCTAACAGAAACACCGAATATTAATTTTACTTGTCAGAAAGGTAGGTTGGGAAGGTAATAAAAATAATGGATAAAGTCTTCTCTTATAAATGAGTGAATTCATATACGTCCACACTATTGCGGCAAGCGATATTTCTAGTGTTGCAATTTTGGTGAATTTAAATATATTGTTTTATGGAATCCACATTAGTGAAAATTCTAAAATTAGGAATCAATATTAGTTAAAATTCTAAAATTGACTAGAAATTTATTTTGCATGATTCTCAGACTATGTAAATGCCTTTATACTCGCTTGTCCTATTACAATAAGAAAACAAACTTATTGTTCCAAATTACAATGGTTAGAAATGCAACATGGATATTGACCTCACTGATGAGAGGCGCAACTTTTTTTTCTCACTTCGGTATGCCCCGCTAAACCCAATGATACGTCGAGTGACAGGGAGAAGATTGCGTATAAGGAGCGAAAAAGGTTGACGAGACGACTCGTTGTTACATCTTGGCATCAATGTCAAATGTATTGTAGAGTTAGTATAAGCTATGGACACTGCCAATGATATGCTACTTAACCTCAAGGAACTCTTCGACGCTAGTCTCTGGTTGCGAGGCAGGAGACGTTGAGGGTCATAATGATGACCGTCATGCTTGATGGCACTTCTATAAGGGAACATGTCCTCAATTTGATGGATCATTTCAATGAGATAGAATATTTAGAGGCGACATCGATGGAAAATTCCAGGTTGATATCGTTCTTCAAAGCTTGCCTAAGAGTTATGAACAACTCCGCTTGAATTACAATATGAACAAAAAAATGTATTACTTGGCGTAATTGTTGGCTAGACTCCAGGCGGCGGAGGTATTGTTTCACCAAAGGTCTCAGACTTATATTGCCGAATAGGCTGGTCTTTCTTTTTTCTAGGCCTACGGAAGGTAAGAAGAAGAAAAAACAGCTGATGAACTCGACAAAGTTGTCGTCACTCAGGGAGCAGGTAAAAAGCAAAGGTAATTTGAATGGGAAAAATATATAAAAATATAATACTTGTAAAGAAGATTTTTTTTTTCAAAAGGATAGAGATATTATATACTAAAAACTGCACAAAGTGCGAAAAGAAAACAGCCAAAAGCTGAAAGGTACAACCAAATGTTGAAAAGACTAGGAGGACAGATTCGGCCTAGCAATGGTAGAAGAACATACTCACAACACCACGAATAAAAAACTAAAAAACAATAAACTCCCAAACAGGAGACTAAAACGATTACAACAAGATAATACCCGCTCACACCCGGGCGCACCAGGGTCAACGCCCAAACAAAAAAAAAGCAAGACCTAAACAAACAACAGAAACAAAACCACAAAAACAACTAAAAGAAAATTAAATCAAAACGAGCCCTTCTACAGCAGAAAAGGCGAGCCAAACCAGCAGATGAACAATCAATTACGAGGAGAGATCCAAAGGCCCAGGAACAACTACTGAAACTGCCGAACTGCCTAGCTGAAGGAGAAACCAAGCCTAGAACCCAACCCAAAATTGATACGACCCAAGTCGGAGGGAACCGAACACCGCCTCACCCAGCTAACACCACTAGCCGAGACCAGCACAACCTCACTTTGCTAACACCACTAGCCGAGTACGGACGCACCTGATCCCCTCAACCCAACAACAGAGAACCGAGAAGAGAGTTGTTCAACACCATCGCTTCGACAACTCCGACGCGAAGCGCCACAAGCCGCCGGAGCCCCGCCCCACCCCCTAACCCACACTCCACGCATCGGCTCTACAAAACAGGGAATCCGGCGACCGGAGCACATGGGACCACACCTGAGGAAGTGGGGTCCGTCCGAACCGCGGCGCCCTCCATTGCAGGAACTAGAGAGGCGCGCTAATCAAGAAGAGGGACGACCAGCCGAGGTCAACCACCGTCCGGAGCCCGATTCCGCCGAGGAAGGGGATTGAATATGAAAAGGAGCCAACGATTGGGCAATTTGGGGAGAAGGGTTTTTCAGCGAGGAAGTATATATCTTGTAAATAAGAGTCACTAAATGAAGTAAGGTAATTTCAAAACATTCAACAAATATTTGTAGATTTGTGACATTTGATATACATGGATGTGCATAAATCTCTCTTGTCAAGAAATCCTACTTTGTCAAACAGAAAGTAACTACCAATCACCAATCAATAATTGATAAATCTTGTGCCTAAATGAACCAATCAAAATTATTGGAAGACAACATCATCGATATATAGTGAGTGAATTCATTCGCCCCATTCCTAATCTGTTCAACTTCTTTTTCCACAAGGAATTGTAAAATGGGGGCCCTCACCATAATTTGCTTCCTTCCACTGCCTCAATCAATGTCCTCTCACAAATGGGAAAAGCAAATTATGGCAACCACTTCTTTACTATATATAACAGCCCTCTCATTTTTGTCCTTCATTTTTCCTATACTATTTGCATCCAAAAAAAGAAAATAAAATTGAAGAAAATATAGAAGAAATAAAAAGTTTCACCATGAGCCACAGCAGTCTTACATGCTAGTGACCAAGTTTTATGTTCCAAAACCATTTTACATCTGAAGAAAAAAAAACCGATTAGTATAAAATGGAAATTGAGGTTGTGAAATGCGAGTGTTGTGGGCTAAAGGAAGAGTGCACACAAGGGTATATAAAGGAGGTGAGTAGGAAATTCGAGGGCAAATGGCTGTGCGGCCTGTGCTCGGAAGCCGTGAGGGACGAAGCCAGCCGTGGCAAAAAACAGTCGTCTGAGGCTGTGCGCGCCCACATGTCCTTCTGCCGCAAATACAGCTCAAATAGTAACCCGGCCATTCGGGTGGCCGACGGCATGATGCAGATGCTGAGGCGGAGGACAGCAGCAGCCGACGGTAGCCCCACCGCCACGTCATCACCCAAGAGGTATTCCGGCACTTAACAAGCCATCATTCATGTCTTATTTCTAAATAACCAAATTACACACTTTCCGTGTATTCAAATTAGAGTTGGACGGAGAAGTTGTAATTAAGTGAAGCACATAGAGAAAAGTTTAAGTTGTATTTGTATTTGTAATTAAGTGAAGCAGAAACAACTTATATATACATGTATTTGTACAAGCTTAAGTTGTTTAAGACGAGAGAAAATTTTGATATTAATTTTGCCAAGAAAGGTGTGAGATTTAGAGATTCAGGGCAGCAAGGCGTGGTCTCGTGCAGATTATGCACATCATAAGAGGGTGGTGGCCTTAGGTGCACCATAGTAAGATTCTGTCCTAAAATTAATTGGTGGAAAAAGAATAACTCACAAGTTAAGTTTATTTTCTCTATACAACTCACAAGCGGTATTATCTAATAAAAGACATTATTAACAAAGTCTACAAGCTTAACTAATTCTCTATTCCAACTTAATTGTTTCAACAATATCTCTCTCTCCAAGAAAGCAACCTTAAGGAAAATTAAGGACTCTTAATTTGGTATTCCGTCTTATAGCCACGTTGGATAGCCTACTTTTCCCGCCTAAATCACTTTTGGGCCAAACATGGCCTACTTTTCACGTATCTGTTGGTCAGGCACAAAAGTCTTATAGCCACGTTGGATAGCCTACTTTTCCCGTCTTAATAAGAATATGTAACTTTCAATTATACAATTTATTTTAATAGGTTCTATTTTGGAATATGCTCATTTCTGTAACGCATTTTTATGTCTTGAATTACAAAATATTTTTTTTTTATTTTTATTTTGATTCTATATATCTTTTAGTATAATATAAATGCATATTTCATAACTAATTAAGAATGACTACAAATATCTCTATTTTAGTCATACAATAATAAAAAGATTTTTTTTTTGTGATATTACAAAGATATATCAAATATTTAAAAAATCAAATCTCATAGAGCACTACAAAAAAAAAATCTTACATTCCAATGGAAATTTTCCGTTGGAATTCTTTATATTTTCCATTGGAATAGCTATTCCAACGGATATTCCTACGTAAAAAAATTCGTGGGAAAAACGGCCGTTGGAATAACTAAAATTCAACGAAAAATCCTATGGAAATAAATTTCTACAACTATTCCAACGGAAAAAATCCGTTGGAATTCTTCAATCATCCAACACTTATTCCAACATAAAATTAAGTTTGTTGGAATATTCATTGGAATTTCCAACGGAAATTTTTGCTGTTGGAATTTTTCGTTGGAATTAAAGTGTTTTTCTTGTAGTGGAGTTGGAGGGGTTCAACGATAATGATTTGTTGTGATAGAGATTTGACGATAGAAAAATCACGAATGTTGTATATAAAGAAGTGATTAATAATATTTAAGTTCATTTTTTAAAATTATTTTTTCTTATTTATTAAGTTACGATCTTTATGTTATTTTATATTTTTAATTATTTTCTCTCCTATTATATCGCTTTCCGTGTAAATACACGGGATAAAACTAGTTTATTTTTTATTTTTTTTTTAGTACAGGGACCTTCCGGTTTTTTGATCCACAGGGGAACCGACTAATTCGAAGTCGAGCCGGGTAGAACCACAAGGGATAAAACTAGTTTAATTTAATTACTATAAACATGTTTTGATGGTGGGCTATAACGTCAAATATCAAATTGTTGATTTCTCAAGAGCTGCAGGTGTACGCTGTACGTATCTGCTCCATACATAACACTAGAGATGTTAAACGGTCCTTGCCCCGACCGGTCGGCCCGTTTAGCCCGGAAAAAAACAGGGTTAGGGCTTCTTATTGGTAGCCCGTTTAAATCAGGGCTTTTTAGGCCCGGACCGTTTAAACCGAAGCCCGTTAGGGCTAGCC